AACTGTGTGTCGTTGCTCTCGGCGTTGATGAGGTGCACCAGGCGCGCGAGCCAGCCTTGCTCCTCAAGAGTCTCGTCCGTCTCCATAGCACGACGCTGCTGAACGCCGGGGTAATTGGACGGCGGCTGAGAGCCCTCCTTGATGAGGACTTTGAGGATCTCTAGGACGTTATCCAGCTGGGACGAGGTTGATATCCTGGTCTGGTTGCGGAGCAGGTTGCGCGCTACCTCGCCAGCAACAGCGCGTCGGGTCTGGTAGGACTGCGCCTGGAAAAGGGGGACGTATGTGGGGAGTGATAGGGCGGTGAAGATGGAGACGTAGCGGTTGATGGGTGCCTGGAGAAGGGCGAGAAGGCTCTGCTGGGCGGGAGGAGAGTGGAGATCAGCATTGTTTGCGTTATCGCGCACCTTGCCAAGGGCGTACTCGAGAATCTGGTTGACAAAGTCAAGGCGCTCGGGGTAGATGTTCAAGGCCAGGTTGGTCAGCGAGTGCAGCAACGCGATTGTGTCGGGAATGGGGAGATGTTGCGCCTCGACCAGGTTCTTCACCTGACTGAAGAACACCTCGTAAAGCTGCACATTATCGGGAATGCCCTTCTCCGTCGGCGTCTTGGTCGCGTCGGGAGCTTCGGCAGATTCGGCGGCTGTCTCGGAGCCGTTGACGGCTGTCGTATCGGTCTCTGCAACGGATGGCGTCGTCTCGTCATCGGCGGCATCGCTAGCTCTCGAGGCATCAGCTTCTCCGTTGGCGTCGTCGGCCCCCGAAGCTTCGTTGCCATTTGTGTCGGACGGCTTGCTGGTGTCGGCATCCGCATCTGCTGGTGCCGCCGAGTCTGGCGCCTCGCTCTGCAGCTTCACCTTTTCTAGCAGCTTCGCCAATGCCTCCTCCTCCACCTTTGCCTTGTCATCGTCGCCCTCAGCGGGGCCTTCGCGCTCGGCGTAATCTGAAAGTCTGTCCATCAAGCCAATGACAATCGCCTTGACGTTGACATGGGGGTTGAGGCGCGAGACGGCGCCAAGGAACTGGTCGAGGGTGTGGAGGTGGAACTCGTCGGGAAAGACCTGGGTGACGACCTCGAGGAGGTACTCTTGCGCCAGGACATCGCGGCACTGCACAACCTGCTCGAGCAGGGGCGCCAGGATGCCCGACTTGTACGTCTCGAGGTCGACGAGCTGGCTCAGGCGCACAATGTTGCTGCCGACGAGCAGCTGCAGCTCCTTGCGCTCCCTCGTCCTCTGCTCCCTCTCGCGCGAGTGGCCCTGGTGCTGGAGGCGCACCCACAGCTTGTTCATCTCGACAAAGTTGGTGAGGACAAAGTTGATCGAGTCGGAGAGGTTGCCTTCGGGGCCGTCGCCGTCGCCGGTGGGCAGGAAATCGCGGGCCTGGCCGGAGAGGAAGTATCGCAGGAAAAGACCGCGGATGGGATGCTGAACCCCGCGGCTCATGTCCATCATGTCCTTCATCAGCTCCTTGACCGGTGCGTCTTCAATCGACATGTAGGCTGTGCCGACGGTCATCATGAGGTAGAGACGAGGCACAATGTTTCCGGCGTACTGGACGAGCTCATACAGGTCGGCCAGGTGGTTGACGGGGTGGTTCTCTCGCAGGTGGACGGACAAGTACCGCAGCGCGTCGAAGACGGCCATGTAGAGCTCGTAATACTGCTTGGGGCCGAGGCTGCTCGTTCGGAGCTCGGAGACGAGAGTAGAGCTGCACAGGAGGAAGGTGAAGGCATTAGCAAGACGGTGCAGGGTGTTGTTCCCAAGCCACAACAGCTCATCTCCCCGAGATGCTGCGATTGCGAAGGGCTGGATATGACGTACCAGCACTTCAGTGCGTCCATGAGCTTGCCGGGCGCATCGAGGCATTTCCGCATGACCGCCGTTTGCTGGCGCACAGCAACCAGAGCATCCTCCAGCAGGCGTGCCTGGTCCTCAGGCGGCGCGGGCGTCGCAGACATGTTGACGTCGGGGGATCGAACCAGTGGGGCAAGTGGCAGGCTGTCGTGTTCAACTCAATCGCATGGGCAAGGCTTGTCTCGGAGGATTTGGTGACAGCAACTGAGTCACCACGAGACGTCGTCAGGGAGGAGATGTCGTCGACAGCGCAACGAAATCAATGGGATGGTGGTGACGTGGCGGAGCTCGTGGGAGACGTCGGCGGACAAGACGGAGCAAGTTGGCTGGCGGGCTACAAGGTGCAGCCAGCAGCAGCAAGCTTGCTTGCCTGGGCTGTTCAAGGCGAAGGCGGCATTATCGGTGGAGGCTGCCTGCCGTCACGTGGCTGATAAGGCGTGACGATGACAAAGGCGACCCGTTTAGATGATGCTCGCTTAGGAGACACAGTTCCTCGAGATGGGTACTTCGTCTATATACATACCTATTGATCCTGTTGGTCTTCGGAATGTGTGACATGCCGATACGCCTTGATTGGGTCTCTGCAGGCAGCTTCCAAATTCCGAGGTTCGTGATGAGTTCCGTCCAACTTCCGCTCCATCTCCAACACTGTTTCTTCTACTCCCTGTCGATTGGTATTCCAGATTCGTGGCACAGCCCACTCGGTCAGGGCGAATCTGACAAGATCTCACCAAAGGCTGCTCACGTACGCATTGCTCCCTCTATATCTCACATGATGAGTTCCTTCTTCCTCAGTGTCCGCTGCTAGATCCTTTTTCTGAGCAAGACAATCTTGCCAAGTTGGGATGTTCTTACATACAGCCTAGGCCCCAGGCTGCCGCCGTGCGGCTGAGTCAGATTGGGGGAGGAGGGGGGACCTAGCCGAGCACCCTGAGGGAACCCTGAGGGAACCCTGAGGGAACCCCTCACAGGGTCTCTCCACCAGCCGTTGTGCTAAAGCGTTGCCGCAACATGTCTACGGGACACCTTCTTGTTCACCCGCGCCTTTGGTGTTCCGTCATCAGCCGCGGCCTGGCCTGTCTCGGCTGAGTCCAGTGATACAAATCGGCATGGTGGGTTGGTGCTAGGGTCGTCTTGTCTTGTGTCTGAGGACCCTTGTGACTGGCGGCTTGTTCCTCAGAAGCATGCCAGCATGAAATGGTTAAGAGAGCTGCACCTCCTCTCTTCGAGAGTTTCTCTCCTCTATTTTTTCCTTTCCGTCCTTCTTCTGTTGAACGTACGGGCACATGGTTTCTTTACCGAGTCCCTCCATGTGCTCCCCCGCACATTGACAAGACGACAGACGGCAGCACGACAGATCCAACATGAACCAGATATCCCCCCTCATGCGGATTCCCGCCGAGCTCCGCGTGCTCATCTACGAGCACCTCCTCGACGACGGCGGCAACACACAGATCGAGATTCGCAACAAGCCACGGCAGGGCTGCGCATGCACAGAACAGCACGGCGCCCAGCGACGCTCGCGCTACCGCGTCATCGAGAAGAACTTCCACCAAGACTGCTACGAGACGACCTACGTGCTCGCCTCCCCGGCAGCCCTGCACGTGGGCATCATGGCGACGAACCGGCGCACGTACGCCGAGACGTCGCACATGCTGTACGGCCGGCACACGTTCAGCTTTGGCAGCGACGTCGAGGCCGTGGCGCCGTTTGTGCGCGACCTCTCGCCGCACGCGCGTAGCCTCGTCGGCGGCGTCGCGCTGCGCAAGAGCAGCGCCCTCTTCGCGTCCGAGTCGGACCGCCTCGACTGGGCCTTCATGTGCCAGACGCTGCGGGACCTGCTGCCGTCGCTGCGCCGCCTGCGCCTCGCCGTCGAGGGCGGGCGGCCCTCGAAGCCCGGCGCCAGCGGCGGCGGCCTGCTCAGGGCGCTCGAGGCGTCGGACCTGCGCCTGCTGGGCCACATTCAGCACGACAGCGTCCAGTGGATCGCTGCGCTCGCGGGGCTCGCCAAGGGGGCCCGCCTCGAGGTCGTCGAGGTCGTGCCGGAACTGAAGTACATGCCGGCGCCGCAGACGACGGCCGCCATCTTGTATGCTTCGTTCTCGGCCGCCATTGGCACGGCGTTTGTCGAGCACCTGCGCGAGGACTGCGGGCTGCCAGCCGTGGCGTGGCCTCAGCCGTAGCGGCCTTGGGCTGTCTCATCTAGGCAGTTTGACAGGAGGGAAGGGGTGTGTAATGGCAGCGGGCAGTGGCATGTTTGTGGTCTGGTGCTGGTGATGAGAGCGGCTGAAGGGCTGGGAGCTTCCCACCAGTGGTCGTCATGTTACGATATAGCTTGTGTTTGTGCGGCTGATTTTTGGGTATGGGCGTTTCCTCGGCATGTTCCGTTGCATTGGTGGGTGGTTAGCATGGCGTTTCCTGATGGACACTGGCTGATGGTGTGGTACGAGGCCTGGTTTTTGTGATTGGGAAAATGGATGGTTCTTTTTCGTACATTTCGAACCAAGTGTAGTGTTGAAGTCTGTTGGAGGTCAGACGACATGTTGATGCCTCAGTTTTGACGCTACCTAGGTACCTTCTGGAGGTACGAAGGTGAAGGTACCCAGTAAGTAGTCGACAAAAAGGAATGTCCCATCAATGAGAGTCCCCAGTTTACCTGTAGATCAGCGCCGACCCATCTCGCTGTCACGTAATAACACTTGATGGGACACTTTCTGTCGAGTGCTTGCCAGGTAGACAACCAAACTACAAGGTCAACAGCATCGTAGAAGACAAGCATGGATGCAGACTGGCAAAGAAGCGGAGCTTTAGCGATGGCAGGGCTGAGCTTTCAGGGGTCGCCCCCCTAAAGGCCCAAGGGACGGGGAAGCCCAAGGGACGGGGAAGCCCAAGAGACGGGGAAGCTCTGGCTGCGCTAGGCCCGCCTCGTGCTAGGCGTATTTGGTGTCTATTTTTGCCGTCGGAACTCCGCTACACCAGGCGAGTCAGAATCACGAAGAGACCACGCAGGCGAAACTGCTGCCAGGCACCATGGTCGAAAGCAACAGATATAAAATCATTCCACGAGGCTCCTCAAGACAATCTTGCGGCCTTGAGGGAGTCTGAAGCGTCGCACATACGATACGCAAACACGACGAGTCCAACATGGCCGACCAGGCAGCCACCCGTAGAGGTCGAGATGCCCTCAAGCAAGCACTGCTCGTCGGGGCCTATCTTCTTGGCATCGTCGCAACCGCCATTCCCGTGCTCCTGATCTTTGCAGGATCATGGCTTGTCAATGACGAAAAGGATGCATCAGGGCCCATCCGCTTGGCTCTCTCCAAGCTTTCCATCGCATCAGTATGTGGACTCCCGCACCATTCATCCATCGCGTCACAACTCATCAAGACTCCCACCAGTTCGACGGCATCATCCCCGATCCGAATAACAAAGGGGCCTACCTCCTGACGATGCACCTCTTCCCCCGTGCCTTGGGCTGGGAGTACCCTTCCGCCCCGTCCCACGGCCAGACCGCTGGCATCGTGAACCCGACGCGAGGCACACTCTACCTGCCCACCGACTTTGTCACCATCGGCAAGGCCCTCGATCTCGACCCCTCCGCCTGGGGCTGCTTCCCGCCCGTCTGGACCGACCCCTGCGAGAACCCCTTCTTCGCCGCCTTCCGCCGTCAGTTCCCCTACGAAGGCACCCCCGACGCCTGGACCGTCTTCCTGCTGAGCGCCCTCGTCGCCTGCGCCGCCGCCATCGCCGCCGTCGAGCTCGTCATCGCCTTCCGCCCGAGCCTGCTGCGCTGCCAGTGCTACTTCGCCGCCCTGAAGCGGGTCTGCCCGTGCCCGCGCGGCACGCGCCACGAGATCGAGAGGCTCAACGCCGCCTTCTGGGACCGCTAACGTCTGTGGATGTGGCCCGTCATGCCCGTCATGACGGCGCTCACGTGTCTCAACCTTGCCGTGCGCGGCTGGATGCTCGTGGCCTGGCTCGACCGGTGGACGGCGCAGGGCGACGACGTGGGTCATGTGCGGCCGCGGTTGGGCGCCGCGTTCGTCGCCCTGTCGTGGACGGCGACGACGGCTGGGTTGGGGGCCGTGCTGTGCGTGCTCGCGAGGCTGTTGCTTGCGCAGCGCACGAGCTGGATAGACCAGCAAGGCGCTGCCCCTGGTCTGGGGGACGCCGAGACCGAGGCCCATGGGCAGCGCCATGTCGGGTTGGAAGAACCGGCGGCGAGGACTGGGCTTCCTGACGCACAGCTGAAGGGGTACTCGGATGCTGATCCGGATGCACCTCTCCCAGGTCGTGCCGCTGAGGCTGAACCGTCGAAAGGTCCACCGAGGAATGCATGAGCGACCTTGACCCAGTCGTGTGCACGATTGAATGGGCAATTGGGCTGGATCGATCGGTCTCGGCCACGCTTCGCAAACTGGAGTGATTGTTCCGCGGTGTACCAAGGGGTGTCAATCGCCCCAGGTGCCTGACATCATGATGACTTGAACTAGCGGTCATCGATTTCATCGACCGGAGCTCACTCCAAATGGCAGTCAATGATGCCATCATTCGTCGCCGAGCGTCCAATGGCTTGACAAAACAACCAGAGGTGCAGCTTTCTTCTTGAAGGCTCTCACTTTCACAGATCGGTCTCGCCTCTCCCCTTCCACTGCTCATCGCCTCAATTGACTGTCCTCCATTGACTGTCAGCTCGATTGACCATCCAAGCGACTACGAAATACATCACGCCAGCAGCACGACCACCTTCGCCTCTGCATAAATTCACTCAGCACGTTCCAGAAATATGTCTGGCGGCTCAAAATACACAGTTCCCGCCGTGGTGGGCGCAACCCTCCTCGGCAGCGGCGTCTACATGATGCGCGGCCGACCGTCGGCCACGGAAGCACCAGCCCAAAACACGGCGACCTCGGCGCCGCGCCCGGACGCCGACGAAGTCGAGCGCAAGAAGCAGCAGGCCCAGTCCAAGCGTGACAATGGCATCAGCGGCGCCGGTGTCGGCATGACCTCCAACACGGGCGGCGCCGAGCTCTCCACCGGTAGCAAGGCCGGCAATCGAACGGGTCCCCAGCACGGCGGCCAGAAGATCAGCGGCGACGTCAGCAGGGAGGATCTGCCGTCGGGCGGTGTCGGCGGCGGGCACGGCGGCGGCAACGACAACTCGAGGACGTCGGTCGAGATTGGCAAGGGTGGTACCCAGGGCAGCAAGAGCTTCTTTTCCGGGTGGTTTGGCGGCGGTGGTGGATCGAGCGACACGTCGTCTGGCGGTAGCTCGGGAGGATCGTCAAGCGGTGCCTCTGGGACAGGCCAGAGCAGCTCGGGCAAGGGTGCCGGGCAGAACAGCAGCGGATCCGGGACCAACCTGTCGCAGAAGCTGCAGGGCACGGCTGGGACGGGTGGCTCGACGGCTGGTGGGCAGCAATATGATGTCGACCCCAAGGATACCCGGATCAAGAGTCACCACGCCGACACACCGTCGAATCGTGGCGGCAGCCCTTTCGACAAGCACCGCAAGGACGTGACGGCCGTTTCGGAGACGAGCTCGAAGCCTGGCAAGGAGTAGTCCGCCTTAGGGATAGTCTTGTCACCCATGTATTTCTCCAAATATACTTGTACGACAATACGAATAGCATCACCTTGGCATTGTTGTGATTCCCATCTTCCTGATGCATTCGCTGATTACCTTTGTACTGATAGCAAGGCCGAAGTCATGCGGCGTTCAAGCAGCATTTCAGGAGGATTAGGCTGGCTTCATTGTTCATTCTTTTCTATCGTCTGCTTACTGCTGTCGCTCGCCTTCTCCTGCTCAGCCTTGGCCTGCGCCTCGTAGTCTTTCCACCGATACTCCTTCTCGATACCCAGCCTCCGTTGCGCCGTGTCGCACAGCTTCTCGTTCCCACACTCACAAACAGCCCCAGGCCGCAACCACCGATACGTAAGGCTCCACCGTCCCTCCCTCGGCCTCGCTCCGCCGTCCGGCAGCGGATCCGTCTTGCGCGACCGAATGCCATGCGTCCAGTGCAGCCGCGCATCGCCGCGCATCGCCATGATGCTCCGCGGCAGCAGGTCGACGTCGGTCCTCGCCCCCGTCGCGCCGTCGCGGAACTGCATCGACACGGGCGCCCCCAGCGACAGCGCGTACAGCTGGTCAAAGGCGCTGTGCGTGTCGACGTGCGGCGGGATGCCCGTGCCGGGCGCGTAGTACTGCAGGCACACCTGGTCCGGCGCGCGGGCCTCGGTGCGCGGCAGCAGCGCCGGCAGCCAGGCCGGGAACGGGATGTAGGCCGTCGCCTCGTCGATGCCGAACGTCTTGTAGGAAAAGGTGTGCCCGTAGTGCAGCGCGAGGCGGCCCTTGCGGTCGGGCCACGTGAGCTGCGTCTGGAAGATGGTGAGCAGCGCCGCTTCGTGCTCGGGCGTGATGAAGTCTTGCTGCATGAATATGCCGGAGGGCTGGATGGGGAGTTCCTCCATCGCGGCTTGTTGGCTCGACTGATGCTGATCTGGGGGGGATGTTTTGTGGCCCTTGCTCTTCAAGGTTGGTACTGCTAGGTGCTCATTGTGAAGGTTGGTGCAGTGTGGAGACTGGGAATGGAGTCAAATCGGATGAGGGAGAGAATTATCTTGATGGTTAAAGCGGTCACGTGACAGCGCATTCTCTCAGAAATCAATGGCCTGTCCAATGAAAAGTATCCCAAGTTATTTCTGCTGATGAATCAGTAACAAAAAGCATTTATTTCTTCGTACGTGGTGTTTCAATGGTAGACCTGAGGTTTCATGGTGCTGTTGCGCCCTTCTGTAATCGAACCTCAAGCCCGGCCCCGGAGCATTCTGGCTCTCACAAGAGTGAAATGCCTCGTATATTCAAGATTGAAGGTCCAAAAACCAACAAGGAAACATTTCACAAATATAGCGTTGACCGCCAGCTGGGCCCTGCAACACAGTCAAATGCAGACAACGAGGCAGGACTCTCTGTTGGATGGTCTTGACACTGTTGGGCTTTCAGATTTGAACATGCACAGACGGAGACATCAACCTAGTTCTACAGATAGGCAGACTCCTGGCTAGCCCACGGAGAATTCCTTTCCTCAAACCACTGAACCTGTCGTCTGGGCCAGTCAATGATGTCCTCCATCTCCTCATTGCCGGCAACCTGCTGGTCGATCAATTCGAATAAGTCATGCGACCACCCCTTCATAAACCAGAACCTCGGCTCCATCATCTTCCAAAACACGGAGAAATACGCAAGAAGAGCCAAGGCGTTCGGGTCAAAACTTTGTATGTCCCCCACGACCGTGTCGGGGACGACATAGGCAAACATGATGAGCATACCGAATTCAGGATCGGGACCCGCATTCTTCACGAAAACCATAAGTCGCTGGAGAGCCTGCACGGCCAAAGTGTACGCCTCCTGAGATTGCGGCGGAACATGTTGCTCCAGGAACTCGGACAGCTTGTCCAGCGCCCGAAAGACGTCTTCTGGGACCAGAGACCCTTCCGCCGGCTCTTCCCTGTCGCCGAGCTGTCAGCGCACTTCCCTGGTTCACCGCGCCACCCGGTGTTCTGACTCACCAAATGACCTCGCTCTCATCGTCGGGTCTCCATATGCTATGAAAAAGAGGGGCAAGATACGAATTTTTCAGAGTCGACTGGTAGCGCTCGAGAACGGCTCGATGGCCGCGCACAAAGGCGAACACTTCGAAGATGTTGACGGCTTCTGACGACCCGGCCGTCAACCCTGCGACGGTATGCGAGGGACGAAAGCACACATAGATCAGAACACAAGACGAGAAGCACATGAGCGGCTTCCAGTTCCCGGCATTGATGTTCGCGATACCAGCCATGAAGGTCGCCATGCCAAGACCCTGGTGGTAGGCCGCGAGGTCGAGGTACTGCTCCCGCTGCCCCGGAGATCCACTCGGCAGGGCTGCCTTGTGAAGCGCGGCCAGGGACAGCAGGCCGTGCATGACGAAAGGGTGGTCGTATCCGATCTGCGGGAACCGGCAGCGCCAAATGTGGCGCACATCCGAGCGAAAGCTCAGAGTGTGGGCCGTGCTGATGGTGAAGTGGTGCATAAGCTCCAGGCCTGAGAGCGCCCACATGTCGTCGCTCGACGCCGGCAGTGGTGTCGGCACGGAGAGCGGCGCCGAGGGAGGGTCATAGAGGCTCTCCAGCGTGCAGTAATCCGGGTCGGGAAGCAAATGGTTCAGCCTCGGGTCAACCGGTAAGAGGAGCTCGGGGGTCATCCAGGTCTTGTCGATGACAAAAGAGCAGCGCACGCCATGGCGATGACAATTCCTACAGAAGGGCCGAGATTCGTCGCACTGCAGAAGCCATCAGATGCGGCAGCAGCATGATGGAAGCTGACGGGCTGTTACCTTGACTTTTCTTCTTTTGCAATTGGCGCAGCCGAAGCGAGACTTGGTATGAGGTCGACGCAATGGCATTGTTCGGGTTCGTACTTCAGATGCGAGAGGTCGGGTTCCCACTTCGATTCAAATCACTGGGATCGCAAAGCGAATCTTGAGAGAGATGGATAAGTAGGGGGGAATTCGCCACAAGAGTCTACAGACTATAATACATTCGGACCTTCCGACAAAACTCTTCTTATCCCCGTTCACATCGCGAACGACCGCCGCTGCTGGCTAATGCGACTCGCGGCTTTGAGGCGGAGGCTGATCGTACCTGTTAAACGAGGTGCGAGTCCGAACCCGCGCGTACCAAAGACGGCATTAGTTTTGGTGCTGAGCGTGTCGATCGACTCGGTGGAGCTTTGCGTCAGTCGTATTACTCGGGTCCTCGCGTGTATACGAGCCAGTGAACCCTTTCCGGGCAATGCCGCGATCCCGAGAGAGAAGATGAATAAAAGTCGAAACACACCCCGCGAACCTGTCAATGCCGTTCCTTTTCTACATCAATGCAGGGCTTCGAGGTTCGATTAGCATTCAAATTCTACGAGCGGTGGAGCCAGGCCCAGAAATGGAAGTTAAATACGTTTCGTCTACTGAAGGTCCGTCATCAACAACAACCCTGCCATGGGTCCCAGTTGCTGGGGTCATAGCGGGTACGGTGAGTCAACTGATACTTCAGCTGCTATTGGCGAGGAACTCATACCCGGCCTAGGTTGTTCTCTATGTCATCTTGACGGGAGTTTACAACATCTGGTTTCATCCGCTTCGGGCGTACCCTGGCCCCTGGTGGCTTGTCGCCAATCGACTACCATACACCTTGTCCGTCTTGCGGGGCACCGCTACTCGGCGGGCAAAGGCTCTGCACGAGCAGTACGGCCATGTTGTTCGTATCAATCCCGACACCCTGTCGTTCACTTCTGGGGAGGCATGGCGTGGTGCGTGGCGTCCCTCCCACGCTTGAGACTCTAACTCAACCGACGCAGTTGTTAACCCAGGTCGTTAGATATCTACGGCTCTCAGTCAAGATGCAACCCGGGCATACCGAAAGACCCTTACTTTTACATGCAACATCAAGGCCCAGCAAACATTGTTCGTTGATCGTTCTTACACACCAACATCTTCCTAACCTTCTGGCAGTCAACCCTCAATGACGACGACCATCATCGTCTCCGGCGCGTACAGCTCAACGCCTTCTCTCCGAAGGCGTTGGCGTCTCATGAGGTGCACGTTCGGCGTCACGCGTCAGGCCTGGTCTCTCAGCTCAGGTCCAGCGCTGATGCGAAGACAGACGTCGACATGTTTCTGCGACTTGAGCTTCTCGTAACGGACATCATCAGCAAACTTGTACTAGGCGAGTCGTTTTGCCTGCTCGAGAAGGATGACCCTCAGCCTGGGCATTTTGGAGTCTTCTCGGTCCTGAGGAATCACACGTACGCCCGCGAAATGATGCATTGGCCTAGTATCTTTAGACGGGCCGTTGTCAGATTCATGACCAAGAGACCAGCGACACCAAATCAGACAATGTGGATGACCAGGAAAGCGACCCAGAAACGGTTCCAGCAAGAGGGTGACGAGTATGATTACATCTCGTGCATGCAAAGGGGCAGCCCCAAGCTAAGGTTCGTTGCGGCCTCCGGATTGTAAATACCTTCCTCTCCGGGGTGCACTCACTGATGGATCGCCAGAATGTCGGAGGACGAAATAAGAGTCTCGACCACAGCATTCGTTATTGCTGGCAGCGAAACAAGTATGAAAAGGCCCCTACTCCTTTCAATTTTTCATTCGTCGCGTGGAGTCGTTCCCTGACTCGTGACTGCAGCTGCGACGGCCATAGCTGCAACCATGTACCTGCTATGCAAGAACCCACGGGTGTACAGCGCCCTCACCCACTCGATACGCTCTGATTTTCCTCTGGAGTCAGACATGACCATGCCCAGACTTGTCCAGCACGAGCAGCTGAACAATGTTCTGCAAGAGGCGCTCCGCCTGTATCCCCCAGTGCCGGACAATCTCTTCCGACGAACCGCCGACAACGCCAGTCTGGTGATGGGAAAGGTTTTGCCACCAGACACGAGCGTCACGATGAACGTGTGGGCTGCCAATACTTCCGCGCTCAACTTCCATCGCCCGGATGAAATGCTGCCCGACAGATGGTCGAGCTCACGCCCCAAGGAGTTCGAAGGCGATGATAGGGGGGTTTTCAACCCTTTTGGAGTCGGTCCCAAAGACTGTTTGGGCAAAGGGTGAGTGAGACTGACAGCCCGCCGATTGGCGCGACCAAGAATGGCGACGTTGACACTACTGCAGACTGGCGTGGATGGAAATGCGCATCGTAGTGGCGTACCTTGTGTGGCACTTTCAATTTGAGCTCACGCCCGAAAGCGAAGCTTGGATGGATGGTCAGAAGGTGTTCATGTTCTGGGAAAAGCCACCACTGAGGGTCAAAGTGATGAAGAGGTAGGACGAGGAGGACGTAGCTATACACACACAGAGAGAGAGAAACCAGGCACTCACTCAGTCCAAACAAGCTTTATTCCACGAGTCATTCGAGCACTGCATCTTCGGCTCTGCGCATCATTGGGCCAGCAGATTTTGGTCGACCGTGACTGTGGTTAGCCTGTCTACGAAATAAGCCTTGTTGTCCAGAACAAGTGTCGGAACCATGTACCCCGCCCCGTGATTTCATGCAAGGGGGTGGCTTGGCGATTCAGAGTCTTCATTGGTGGCAATTGGGAATAACGTCCTTCTCAACGACACCACAAGACATCGTCTAGCGAATGGCAAATCCCCGGTGTTGCCACGCGGGGTACTGCAGTGTTGAAACATGGGGTGCCGCCTGCAATATCCAGTCTAGATGAACAGCTGTGCCCGACACATCGACTTCTCGCGAGGTTCATGCCTGTGGCCGTGATTAAAGGACCATCTTCAGACCATGATTTGACGTTGCCGCCAACAGGCCGATCGATCTGCATGGTCGTCTGCATATGTAGTGCTACCTTCCTCCGGGAGCCTCAATACAGGGATTATTTTCCACAAATCGGATCGTAATATTTGAAGCACCTTGACCCTGATAAAGTTGTCCAGCCATCACTAGTCATCATTTTTCGCCCTCCAAAAAGTAGCGGGCGACGGCCGTGTTTGCAGTGAGTAGAAACATGGCCTCAACCAGCCAATTGTACCAAACAGGATATAAGTCTGTGACAACATCATTTGGAGGCGAAACAAGGGTCAGCTAGAGGCAGCCACGGCTCAGCCTTTCTATCTTGTCGCGACAGGACTGGTGGAAATCTTGGCCAACTTGATTTTCCCTGATTGCTTCCATGTCGAGGTTGAGAATAGTCATGTTGTGCTTCCGAACTTCTCTTTACGTCTCCGCCGGGCACCTGACTGTCTGAACAACGCAAGTATATAGTTTGAATGTCTCCGTGCTGAAGTTGTATGTTTCGAAGATTTTTGGACACCATCCTGCAGTGAAAGCAAGGACAGAATAGTCTAGAGCCTCTCATACAACACCGGCAAAATGCGCTCGACAATCATCTTGGCCCTCATCCCCGCGGCCCTTGGCTGCCTCAATGCCAACACAAACAGTTGCGCCAGTTTCATCAAGTCAAACGCCGCCACGGCTTCGGCCTTCTGTGCAACCTTCACGCAGAGCAAGGTCACCGCCACCTCAGCACTCCCGGCCTGGGCCACGCACTGCTCTCGGAAGCTTAGTCTTGTCTCCGCCGAGTGCTCGTGCCACTACACGGCCGGCGGCGGCGGCGGCGGCCCGACCGCCACGGCCGTCCCGACCACCCCGACCACGACGCTGCGCACGAGCACCACGACCGCAGGTGGCGGTGGGGTTGTGACACCCCCCGCAGGAGTGGTCACGGCTTTGCCCCAGTCCTCTGGTGCTGTCTCTTCCTCGGCAGCTATCACGGTAACCGCGTCATTCGACGGCGGCATGAAGAACTACGACCGCTCGCGTGAGTGACGACCCTCGTGAGCTAGCAGATTGAGGCAATTTGGTCCGCTAATCATCGTGTGAAAAAGCCCGAGTTTGTGCCGACCAGAGCGAGACGGGTGAGAAGGATGCCATGTTTGTGCTCGAGGCTGGTGCCACGCTCTCGAACGTGATCATCGGTCCCAACCAGGCCGAGGGTGTGCACTGCAAGGGCCCTTGGTAAGTGACTATCCCGCAACAATCCTCATCCGAAGTCCTCTTGGCTAACCTGCGCCTAGCACCTTGTGAGTCACCCGAGACTCGCCCCTGACAGCTTCCAGACTCTGTGAACTAACATGAGCAGGATCAACGTGTGGTGGCAGGATGTTTGCGAGGACGCCCTGTAAGCTGCCCGGCCCCCTTTTTTTCTCCCTCATCCCCCTCCCCCCTCCCATCCCCCCCCTTTTTCCTGCCGCGGTGGACATTGAGCTAATCTGAAATCTCTCACAGGACGATCAAGCAGTCCAGCGGCACCTCATACGTAATTGGTGGCGGCGCCTTCAAGGCGGCCGATAAGATCTTCCAGTTCAACGGGTTCGGAACGCTCGACATCAAAAACTTCTACGCCAACGACTACGGCAAGGTCGTCCGAAGCTGTGGCAACTGCAGCAACAACGGCGGCGCTAGGCATGTGATTATGAACAACGTCATCGCCAAAGACGGCGGCGTCCTCTGCGGCATCAACACGAACTATGGTGACACTTGCACGATTAACAACAGCTGCCAAGACGGTAACAAGACATGCGACAAGTACACCGGGAACAACTCGGGCAAGGAGCCCAGCAAGATCGGGTCCGGCCCCGACAGCACCTATTGCAAGGTCAACGCCTTCTCGACCACGTGCTAGGCC